TTGCAGCCCCCCTAGTCCCCTCCATTTTGATGAGCAGATGGAAGCTCATTTCCATATATACTGGCTGGAGTAACTGAGCATGTATACTTGGCAAGGGAGATACCATGATGATGGTTTTGGCACAGGTGGTTTTGCTTGCCTGGCAGGGGAGGTACCCTTCTTCCCAACCTTGAATGACTCGGTGTAGTTAGAGAGTGAAGGCCTGTCCCTTGCACTGTGGGCAGACTCATCCATGTGAGAGTCTATAATACCTCCAATGTGAGGATCTCAACTACACAATTTATGGTAATGAGTGATTGTTCTTGGACTTTTCCTCTAGCTTTCTCCTTTGGCCCTTTGGCTCAGGACAGGAGAGACTAGAGGGCATCTGAACTCCAAGGCCTCTGGGCTTGGGTCCTCCAGTAGAATGCCTGCCATGGGTTTGGGAGTATCTCAAGCCCCAGGCTGAAGAATCTGGGAGGTAGGATACTTGTCAGTGGTAGCACCACACACACTTGAACAATTGAGTTATATTCAGTTGATAGAATTCAGAACTGATTTGGCCAGAGACACAAAATTAAAAAAAACAAACCAAAAACCTGAGCCTGCAGGCCATGTTTACTTCTCCCTTTGGTGCCTGGTGGAACTCACCATTGTTACTTCACTGTTTTTTCCACCGAAGACAAAGGGTCTGAACAAGAGAGGCTGAAGGGAGCAGTCAGTCTTCAGTAGATTCTGCCCTTCAAATATGTGTTTCTGGGGCAGTTGGCAGCCAGGGAAACTCCTGGAAGGGAAGCGTTTTTGTGCTTGGCAGAACAGCCCCCTCTGTTTGGCTTGAAACACTGGAAATAAAATAGATAACATCATCTCCTTGAATCTTTCCCTTGCATGCTGTTTTACCAAGTAAGTTTACAATCAAGTTTGAATTTATTATATGTCAGCAGTATACTTAACTGTCGTATTCCAGGATGGCCTTATATAGTAATTATTTCAACTTGCATGAAGTAGGTTTTTCTCAGTAATGACTGCTGAGGTGCTTCAGCTGATTTGCAGTGCCAGATCATTCTCCCTGGTAGTCCTGACCCACAGAAAAATGGAACCCAGAGCTACAGACTGCCTTTTAACATTACCATGGCAGATTTGTTGCCATACTGCACTTTTTATCAGGCCCAGGTTTTCACTACAAGTGCATTTAAAGTTAGATTTTAAAAAAGGAGAGGAAAAAAAGTCTGAAATTATTCACAAGCTGATTTATTTAGCTCTTTTTCAGTCACTGAAACAGTATGCAGAAAAGGCACACGTATGTTTCAGTCACTTACCATATTTATCCTGCATGCTACGTACTTCTTTCCCCCTTCAAATAAGTCCTCCAAAATTAGGGTGTCTGTCATAAGTGGGGTAGCTTGTTTTTTTTGTTGGAACAGAAATAGGCAGACACTGGCCATGTCTTCATGAGACATTTATGCAGAGAACACTGATTAGCTCCACAGTAAATGTCTTGCATCTATATGTGCAGCCCTATTAGATTGCAGGAAACTAACTGCAGCAGAGTAGTACTTGTAAATACAAGTACTATCCTGCTGCAGAATTTTTTTTGTGTGCAACAGCACACATGTAGACAGTGCCATGGCTGGCTGCGCATGAGAGTGCATGAAAGTGCTTCAGTGCGGAGGTGTCTGCTGGCTAGCCCTGCACTAGAGCACTCTTGGACCCCAGCCAGCCCTTCTGCAGCACATTGAGCTGGGTCAGAGCATCCCCAGGCTAGCAGGCTGACCCAGTTCAAAGTGCTGCCCCAGCAGGCTAGGGCCCTTCCAACTGGGGCTGCTCTGACCCAGCTCAAAGTGCTGCAGTCCTGGGCACATGTTCAAATGGTGCGCTCTTTGGTTCCAGAGGAATTTAGAGGTAGCAAAGCCAGCATAGATCAGCTGTTCATGAGATTTTCATAGTTATTGCATGTGGCTGAGGGGTACATCAGGTTCTGGCTTTCTGTAATTTCTGGCATGGCAGAGGAGGATTTATTTTGCAAAAGCCTTGATTCATAACCTGCTGAAGTTGATGGGAATTAATGGGCTTTGGATCAGGTCCTAAATGCACAGCTAACAGTACGTGGGACACCAGAGAGATACCTTGACATACAATCAAGACGGAGATAAGAATGTAAAAAAAAAAAAAAAAAAGTTGGGAGGTAAGGAGAGGGGAGAGGTAATGAGCATAAGAAGCACCAGTACATCTTTTAAAGTAGAAAATATGTTGCATCTCTCAAGGGTGACAGAATGGCTGTAACTTCCTGTCTGTGAAACTGTTCTCATTTGCCCATGATGGTCCCAAGTGCCTTACCCTTCTGAGAAAAGCCTCTGAACTCTGGCATTATGTGCTGATGCATAGCATGGACAGTATTTGTTATCTCCATTCAGTAGCTGATGGAAAATTAGTCCTGTTTTTAAGGATGGCTTTGATGGATCACCCAGTTTTCTGGTAAAATTAGAGAACTAAAGCAAGATGAAACTTATTTCTTAAGAAAGACAACCGAGTGAGAAATCTGTTCCTAAGAATACTAGTTTTGCATGATCACTGAGTATTTCTTTTTTCTTTTGCTTTTCTGTGCTCTGTGTGGTGTTTTGAAAAATGGTTGTTGACATACAGAAGGAGCTTCAAGGAGGAGAATGGTGGCTTTTAGAGGAAAAGATGGATTTCTGTAATGTTACAGTAGAATCTCGGTCATTTGCACCTGGGTAGTTTGCACCTGTTACATTTGTAGCAGGTTGATGGATTAAGGATGAACCATTCAGCTATTGCTGTAGCCATGCTCCTTCATAGTTCATTGGAAAAATAGTGTCCTTTGAGATAAGTGTAGGAGTTAGCTGAAGCACCTCAATAGTCCTGTGCAGCTGTTGGCTTCAGCTTTTCTTTGCAGACTCTCTCACATTTGCAAATCCTCGTCTTCACAAGGGGTGCCCAAACCTAACTGAATGGGTTCTACTGCATCTTTCCTTAACACAGGCCATTGGGTTTTGGAGATGTTTGAGTATTGGGAAGAAAGTATTTTGGATCTTATAGAAGGGCAAAGTTAAATATCTCTGTTTTGCAAGCCAAAATGAATCGTGTAAGTTTTATCAGTGAGCTCACTTTTATAAGCTAAGTAATCCAGATGGAAACCACAAAGGTCCAGACCCTCGTCTTTTCCAAGATGTTTTGGAGATCTTGTGAAGCTTTCTCATGCCAAGTCAAGGATGAAAATAGTTTAAAATACGGAAAGTTTGTATCAAGGCAATTGTTATTTTTAATAGCAGTTTTGGAAAAAAAACCAAACCCAAAACACTTTTCATACTTGATGTCACTTTTTCCAAGACTTGCTCCTGGAATTGTGGTATTCTTGGTGTCAAAGGGATGAATTTAACCTTAAACTCTTTACAGAGCTCATTTTTGTTCACGTTAAGTGATAAGTAATGTTAAGCCGTATCTTTTCTGCTCTTTATGGGGTTTGTTTTGGTTTGCTTTTAAGAACAAAGGAAATCGGCACATGAACAATGTTGTAATTGTCACTGTTTGTCGTGGACCTGGAGATGCAGGAATAGAAAGCAGCAGCACACGGGGTGGAGCAATAAGAGAAATAATTAACAGGTGGAAAGGTTGATGAGAAATTTGCATCCCTTAATCCATACAAAGCACACAAACAAGCTCACCAGCCCAAAAATACATTAATTTTCACAAACTGGTATACAGTGGGAATTAGAAAAGTGTGCTATATTTGCCTCAGTCTGCTCTTGCTCATGATTTTGGTAATAATCTTATTAACTCTAATGGGAATAGAGTTAGGCCAAAGTTGAACACAGTTGAAAATGTTCCTGAATCATTGCCCTGACCTTCCCAGGATCCATTATAAGCTGGCAAGTAATCCAGTTAATTGAAGTGATATATTTTATTGAACCAACTGTGTTAGTTAGGGGTGGGGAGGATCAAGCTCACCCCTTTTTTTTTTTTCCCTTGGGTGGAGCCTGCCTTGCCAGGCTGCCTGCACGGGATTCCTGTAGAGCTGCATTTAACCTGCTTTAAAGTGTTGTGCACACATGCCCCTCATTTTGTCTAGACACAGCCATACCTGTTTCTGGGAGTGTTTAGATCAGTGGTTGCATTCAGGCTAGCCAAAATATTTGATACCTTCATTATGAAGGCAGTGTGGTTGAGTGGATAAAACTGGGATGTGCTGTAGTAAAGATGTGCATTCTATTTCTGGCTCTGTTTTGCTGACCTTTTGTAGCCTGGTAAATTCACATATTTGTAAAATGGGGAAATATTACTTGACTTGTTTGTAAGATAATGTCTGAAGCTTTGCTCGATAAAAAGGGTTTTGAGCCCAAAACCACTAGTCTCCTGCCTCCTATCTCCTAAGCTTAATGGTAATAGACAGAAAGAATATCTTCTCCTTCACCATTGGTAGAACATGACATGAGTGGTTCATGTATGAGTGGCTGTGTAGTTCAAGTGAAATGGAAAAGCCTCCACCAAATCCAGTATGCGTGAAAATGCTGTGAATTCCTGCTCTGCTCCACACAGAAAAGGGTGCCAAAACTTGGAATATGTGCTTCGAGCTTGCTCTGAGGCTCACTGAAAGGCTTCTGTTGACTTCAGTGAGTTTTGGATCAGGTCTTTTTGTATATAGCTATTAGTTTATACCATAGGCCTGGATTCCTGATGAAGCTAGGTTAGGAGGTCATACAGAAATTTCAAGGCTAAAAACAAACATTACTATTTTTTTTGACTAGAGTCCCAAGGTAACGTGTTAACTCAGATTCTAAAAACCTTTAGAAAAATGTATGGATTATGTAGGTGTCTAAGTTTGCAAGATCAGGCCTTTTTGTTGATGAAACTGTTACTCTGACACCCACTTGCAATATTTTCTGAGTGTACACATTGATTTAAGAAAAGCAGGTGTATTATTCCTTCTTTTACTATTTGATATGGTCTCAGCTAATGTTGCCTTCAGAAATCATAATCCTCTCTATATATTTTCTCTCCAATAGATCTTGGAACAGTCATGCACAGAGGTATTACACTTGGAACCATCCAGTGTTTGTGTGGGAGGTAAGTTATTAGAATAGGAAAATAGTATACAAGAAGTAGTTATAGTGCTGTTTTCCTTTTTGTGTAAAATGTGGAAATCAAACTCCATATGACAACTAAAAGAAGAGGAATTACAGGAAGAATCAGGAAGTCCTTTTTATTTCTTTGGATTCCTCAAGGAAATTTTTTTCTGACTCCTTAAGTCTTGGTGGTCTGTGCTGTGTGAGATCTTTGAGACAGCACCAACTTTCAGTGCTATAGCAAGCAAGCAACTTTTCAACCTCTTCTTCTCATGTATTTCAAACATACATATTGTTGTTAATAATACTTTGTTGTACTGTAATAACCCCTAGGAGCTCCTGCTATAGTTCTGAACTTTAGTGTCCTAGGCACTGTATAAATATACTACAGTGATATCCCTATGTGGTGTTACACTATATACATCATGCTGTTCTCAAACCTAATTTATTTATTTATCCAGAGTTTTCTGCCTTGTCAAATGCTGTAGATCAAAGTATGTGTTTAAAGTTACATATATATCTTATAGCAGATAAAGATAATTCTGTCTTTCCAGTGATGTTAATTTTTTTTTCAAAAGTAAAATATAGTCCTAGCACTATTTGTTTATCTGACATTTGCTATGTATGGTGGACAAAGCTGGCAAGCTGCATTTTTCTTTAGAGATGGGCTTATATATTCTGTGAAATTATGCAACTAATCAAAGAAAGCTGCTCAAGCTTGCAGCCCATCAGTTTTTTTTTCTTCTTCCTCTTTATGGTTTTGCAATCTACACACTCTTTGAAATCAACCAAAATAAGGTTATTGCAAATTTTAATTCAGCTGTTTTGTAAAAGATTACAAAACTTAGTGAGTTATTTGATCAAACCAGTGGCTTAGACTTTGTATTGACTCAAGGTAACTTAGGGGTTATTGTCCACACTGATTAAAGACAGTCTCTATCCAGTGCTGTCAGAGGGTGTGACTCAAAATTTATTGAAGTAATGAGGAGTGAGCTTTATACAAGATCCAGCTTCTGTATATTGCAGAATAGGCTCATCACTTAAGTTGCAGCTGCTAGGTGGGACTAGCCTTCCATCTAAAGTGATTGCTTATACATTATGAAGTTCTTTCTAGTCCTTCTCCAGAAGTTAGCTCAAGTGTGAGGCACAGATGTGACCTGTTAACAAGGTAGCATGAGTAATGGTGTAATCTTACTACCTGTGCTGAACCTGTTTTGTGACTAGACCCCTGATGACTGCTAATCTAAATTTGGCCCCTCCCACAAGCACTGACAGATGATTTTTGTTTTTTAGAGGAGTTTCAAGTTGTCCTCAGAGGAAGCGGCCTCAAACTGGGCAGAAACAAGGATAGTGTTACCTGCACCTACTTTGTAAATGGCACGATAATTAGTAAGTATTAACATCTGAAATAAACTGTGGTGAATACAGGATAAGCCAAAGGTCTTTTGTAATACGCTTATTTTTATAGTTGTGAATTTTCATGATTTCCCCATTTTATACAAATATGAAAATAAAGAAGTGAAAAAATAAAGGAAGGAACTAGGATGGTTCAGAGGTTAGTAATGGAGTATAAATGGTTTGAATACAGTACAGGTTTGGATTAGCTGCAGATTGGTACCGATGCCTGGCTGCCCTGTAGAATGTGTGAAATAAGTCATATCAGCCCAATGCCTAGAAACTTCACCACAATTTGTTTCATTTGACAGATTTCTTGGTATTCTCCATAAAGAGGCCAAAGATTGAAGGCTTCCCATTTGTATTCTGGGCCACACTTGAGTTTATTTGGTGGTTTGTCTCATCACTGAAAATGCTGCACCTGTTTGAATACAGTAGCAAACCCACTTTCTATATAAAAGCATCAGGCATCCACACCTGGTAGTGGAATTACTGTGATTCTGTGCAGAGTTCGGTGATATTCACAGAGTGTGTGCTTCTGCTTGACACTGAGCACTCTTCATGACACTCTTGTGGCTTTCCGGCATAGCAGTGTGCTGAGATGGGTGTAAAGAGCAGCGAGGATGGATTGGGGGTATAGCTAGGGATCTGCTGATGGGTGTCTCCTCCAGTCATTGTGGTTGCTTAGGGGCCCAGGGACTGAAACACCACTCACCCTGCACTGGCCTCACTGTAGAGATATTTAGTAGGCCTGTGCGAAGCTTCGAGTGCTGATTTTGATTTGGAGGAGATTTGGCCTGATTTAGCAGCCAAATCTCTGAATCTGGATCAAATTGGGAGACCAATAAAAAGATCCAAATCGATTCGGAGAGTTTTGGAGGTTTGGGTAGTCCCCACTCACTGCCACAGTGAGCTGGACCTGGACTCCATGCTTGTAAGTAGGAGGGTGGACCTGGGCCCCTTGGTTTGAAGGGGGGGGGGGGGGGGGGGGAGGGAGGGAGAGGAGGCTGGAAGAGGGGACTATGGGGGACCCCTGCCAGGCCCCATCCCGTGCCCCCAACCCCCCTGAGCACCTCCTGACCCCTGCCCACTCTTTCAGCCCCATCAAAGGCTGCTCCACTTGGCCCCAGTGTCCTGGCTGTTTTTTTAAAGCCCCAAGCTCACTGGCTGCTGTAGCAGCCATCAGGGCTTCTGGGGGCTTGTGGCAGAGCCTCCCACGCAGCACGGGGCAATCTGGGGCAGTGTGGATTGTTCCCCTGCCTGGCAGGAGCTGGTGTGTGTGGGAATTTAAAAAAAAAAAAAAAAAAAAAGAGAGCAAAAAAAAAAAAAAAAGTGCCAGGATGCTGGGGCCAGGTGGGGGAGCCATTGATAGACCTGGGAGAGCAGGTGGGGGATGAGGCCTGTTTTTTTCAGAGATTTGGCAGCAGCCGAATCTCTGAATCAGATTCACTGTTGAGTCACTGTCCCCCGAATCAGCCAAATCTGAAGCAAATACTAGCTGCGTCGCACAGGCCTAATATTTAGTATGTGGCTGGCTACTTAGGCAGAACATTGGTTCCCTGGAGGTAACCCAGTGAGAAGAATTCAGTTTTAGAAAGAATCCCTGTAATACCTTTCAATAGCAGGAAGATCTCTCCTCAGGTAGGGATGGAAGAACCATACTTCCTTGCATAATGCACCCTAGAATAAGGTTCATACCTTGTTTTGGAAGGGCAGAGTGAAGGACAAAAGGTCTTTCCTTGTAGTAAGTAACTGAGTATCAGTGGATTGTGTGGATCATGTGCAGAGTTGCTTTCATATTTGCCTTGTAAGTGGCAGAAACTGTCTTTAGTGTATTTCTCTCATACAATGTGCACTCCAATTTTCAGCAACTGTTTTTTGGAAAGAAGGTGTGTGTTGTATGTATGAAATCATGGTGCATGCTTAACTAACTATGCAAGTAGTTGCACTGAATTCAAGACTTTTTAGAACGCAGGATTAAAGTCTGGCTTCTGATTAAATCTCTCCCTGAACTGAGACCTAAATGTACCAAGGCCTTGTCTGCATTAGAATGCTTTGCTGATTGAAGTAAACTGGTTTAGCTGAAGTGACAGACCTCTTGCCCAGAATGAACATGGTTATACTGGGATAAAAATACTTACTTTCTAGCCTACTTATATTGTTGGTCGGGAAGCAGATGAAGCTATCCTGGCATAAGGTACCTTCATACTGATATCAAAGTGTCTACACTATGGGTTTTTTTTAATGCTCATTTACTAAAAAGCACATCCGTAATCAAAATAACTATGCTGCTGAAACTGTACACCAGGCCTAAGAAAACCAACAAAGAAAGAAATGGGGAATTTTGCAAAATTGATTCATGTGCATGCGAACGACAAGGATTTTTGTGGGCGATATCTATTATTGGTCCAACTGTATGGTTGGTATAGACATATACCAACATATGTATACATACATATTAATGTATACAATTTTTAATACATTACACATGACTATATTGATGCATAGGGCCAGATCCCTTTCTACCAACCACCCATTTGATTGATGCCTAGACAGCTGTTAGTTAAATGCATCACAAGGAAAAGAACACACATTTTAGGCTACACCATCCTACACCACAGCTATACCATCCTCATCCCCATTACAATAACTGTAGTGCGCTTCTGTGTACCTGTCTCCTTCACCTTTAGCTATCACAGTCACTCAAAGGACCGCCTCCATGACTCCTTCCCTTTTCCCCCCCTCCCAAATCCCCCTCCTGATTCCCCAGTCCTTTCACTCGTTGCTACAGTCTTCATAATCGCCGATGAGTAAATGCATTTTTAAAAATATATAATTTCATGTCTCAGTTACTAATTCTATCAACTGAGCAGCAGAGATCAGTTTTTCAAGTCTGTGTGGCACTACCACTGGCAAGTATGCTACTTCCCTGATTTTTTTTCAGCCTGGGGCTTCAGATACTCCCAAAATCCAGGGCAGGCATCCTGCAAGCAGGCCTCAGGCCCAGAGACTTGGAGTTCAGATGCCCCATAGTCTTGCTTGTCCCTAGCCAAAAGGCCATAGAAGCAATCTAGAGGAGGAGTCAGAGAGCAATCCTCCATCACCATAAATTGTGTACCCAAGATCCACCCATTGGGAGGCTATAGCAAATTCTCATAGTGGTGTCTGCCCTCAGTGGAATGGACAGGTCTCCATTCTCAATAGGGACTACACTAGATCTTAGCTGGGGGAGACCTTAGTCTAGAGCACATTTTTTTTATTTATTTATTTATTTTTTTTAAAAACATATGTCTATATATATTTACATAGAAAGTTTTATACACACACCATTTAGCATACTTTTCTTCACATACCTTAATCCACATTCAAAACCCATGCACCTGTTACAATAAGTGTACCCACGGACTTGCACTCCCATGCACCCATCTTCAGTCCTTTCTCTGACCCAGTCACACCATCTCTTAGTCCTAGCCCTGATTATGGAGTTTAAAATCTCAGTTCATTCACTGTCATCGTTGCTCTTGCTGTTGACTCAACTGCTGCTGTCATTATCGCTGTCACCTGGGCCAGTTGCCTCATTTTCCTCCTCATTACCACTGTCCGCTTCCCTTCTAGGGTGTCTTTGAAGAGCCTGTGCAAACTCTCTCTTTGCCAGGCAGTGTTGGCTGCGTCCTCCCCATCCTTTCCCACCGATTTCGAATAGTAGGGCTGGAGTTCACTCAGAACCATTTTAACACAATCTGCCACCTCAAGATTCATGTGCTTGTATATCAAGAGGTTCCTGGACTTCCACAGGGTGCTCCTGACACAGGACATGAACTGATCGAAACTGACTGTTGGGTTTTCTTGGTGTTTAGTCAGGTGGCAATACAGTGCCGTCTCTCTTGTCATCCATCTGATCCCTGCCACCATTTCACAGAGTTGATTTACCTTTTTCCAGACCTCCTTGGTATATGAGCAGAGCCATAAGAAGTGGTTGACGGTTTCTGTGGTACCTTGGCAGATTGCCATAGGGCAGCTGGTCTACCTCTCTGTGCTCTCATTGGGAGAGCTCAGTGGGCTGTCAGCCATTTCAGGTCTCTGTGGTCTTTCTGCAGGTCCTTGTGGAAGATCTGCTCCTACACAGCTTAGCAACCATCACTGGGGCACAGGTCCATGGGTGATAGTATGTCCCTAGCTCTCTCCACCTCTTGTATCTTTCTGTGGTGAGAGATAGTCACAGGGACGTCATTCTGTAGCCCATACATGCTGTGGAACTCATTCAGAATATTGTAGAACCAGGATTGGTCCACAATCCATGTTCTTCAATTGGTCAGCATGAACACCTGCCATGGTCTCAGGGGGTGTCCTGCAAAATATTTTACAGATTGTAAGATCTTTGCTCCCACTGCCAGCTTACAGATCCAGTCCGCCTTAGCACCGACTCTTTTTCAACCATGGTGAGCTACTACATTGACTGCATTTCAACTTCCTCTTTACTCCTGTGCTTGAGCTGTGCCTTCCTTTCCCATTTCCAGTGACTCCTGCTTTTTAACTATTCTTAAATGTCTGGCAGACATTGCCATACGAGATCCCAAACATCTTACTCAAAATCTGTTTGTGACTCCCTCTCTCAGCCTATCACATGATTAGTGTGGCCCTGCCCTCCCTGAGGTGGAGGCAGACCAGGTTGCCCTGGGCCTCATCTGCATATACATTTTTGGAGGATCCCAGGACTTGTGACAAGAACATTTGATTCCAGTCATGCGTGGGGGGCTAATTAGCATGTGGATCCTTTGTGAGAGATATCTGGCATACACGCACATAATTGAAATGCTGGGGCCCAGTCCAATGAACAGTGTGGTAAATCATGAGTTTTTGGCTTTGGACTGATGTCATGCATAGTTTGTACTCTCTATAAGTAGGTACAAAAGTGTGGCTTAAAAGTGTGTTTGTAGAGTGCCTGTGCTAAACCTTGATGCAGTTTCAAAAGAGACAAAATGCATCAATTCTGG